ATTGCAGAAAAAGTTGCAAATGGAAGATGTGAAGAGGGGGTTTGTGGGACTCAGTGTACAAACTCTGAAGTTGAAAATTGTGGAAAGCCCCAGTGCAGAGCCAAAGCCCCAGATGGTAAATGGGGTCCAGCATACTCAAGGCTGAGGTCCTGGCAGAACCATAGACCAGAGACCCATAGTCCAGTTTGGATCAAATGAGGGCATGATAAATATTGAGCATAGAGCATCGATCCACTCCCCAAGAGATGAAAGAGAAGACACAGAGGGTGTTCAATGTCCTTGTACACTTCACACATAGCTGCTTCATGTGAGGAATGAAAGTAAGCTTATGGTCAAAGATAAGCTCCAAGAACTTTGACTCAGGGACCACGGGAAGAACACCACCACCAAGACGGAGTTCAGGATTGGGGTGTAGACCCCGTTGGTGGCAAAATTACATGCAAATGGTGCATGCTTCTGCTCAGTAAACCTTATGTTCAACGACCAACACGAGATGTGGAAGTCGTCGACATAGATTCAATTTGCAACAGTAGGAGGAACGTATGTAGTGATAGTACTGATCTTGATACTGAAAAGTTGACACTCAAGACACAGCCCTGAGGGATTCCAAATTCCTGTGTGAAAGAACAGAAAAGTGTTGATCCCACATGAACTTGGAATAGATGGATAGATGGTCACACAACCCATATGAGTGAAGGTCCCACAAAATGTCGAACCTCTACGTAGTGTCATAAGCCTTCTCAAGATCAAAGAAAACAGAAAGAAGATGTTCCCTCTTAAAAAAGGCTTCCCTGATTGAGGTCTCAAGTCGAATCAGGTGGTGAACAATGGAGCACTGTTGACAGAACCCACACTGGGAGGGCAAAAGAAGGTTGTTTGATTCAAGGAACCAAACAAGATGAGCATTAACCTTTCTAAGACCTTACACAGACAGCATGTCAAAGCAACTGGGTGATAATTAGAAGGAATCTTGGGATCCATCCCAGATTTAGAGAAAAGAAGGACCATAGCCTGGCACCAAGCATCAGGAAAAACATTCTTTTGCCAACTTCTGGTTAAAGACAACCATAAGAAAAGCAAGAAAAGCAGGAGTGAGATGGCATAGCATCTCATAGTGAACATTATCAGTCATAGAGATGATCGGCCCAAAAGAAAATAGGCAATCGCTCTGCTCGAGACTTGATGGCCAAGAAGGCAGAGGGAAGAAACAGGAGTGCTAGATGCACAAGAAAAGCTCTTACCAAGAGTATTGATGATGCTTTGTATATCAGCATCTTCCTGGCCATTGGAGAGCAAGATGAATACTTCCCAATAACTTTCCAAATCTTGTCCCATATGACTTTGGAACTGGTGGTAGAAGAGATGCTAGTTGTAAATTTAATCCAAGATTCCTTTTGGCTTTGACGTCTCACCTGTCTAGCATGGGCACAGGCCCACTGGAAAACATTTCAGTTAGAAAGAGTGGGATAAGCAGTTGTTAATAGATAGAAGACTAACGATAGCAAAATTCAGTTCCAAGAGAGTGGCGAAAGACAGCCAATTGGCCTGGTCCAAGTTCCTCTGTGGCACTCAGGTCAGGTAGCATCGACCACAGCCATCTCTCTCTAAACCATAGGAAAATCATCACTACCCTGTGGATCACTGTCAACCCTCCAAGAGAAATGAGGGAAAAGTGAAGGTGACAGATAGATAGATCAATAGCAGTAAAAGATTGACTAGGTGCATAAAAATTGGTAAAGGAACCAGTATTGAAGAGAGAAAGGTTGTGATCCATGAGCATACACTCTACAGAACGACCCCTCCCATCAATATCAGCACCACCCCAGAAGGGATTGTGTCCATTAAAGTCTCCCAGGATTACAAAAAGAAATGGCAACTGTTCTATGAGAGTATAAAGGTCTGTTTGATTGTAAGTCTCTCCAGGTGACAAGTAGAAAGAACAAACAGTGATGGTACAACCCAAGGAAACATGGATAGCTACGGCCTGCAAGGGTGTATCAAGTGGCACAGACAAGGTGAGCAAGTGCTGGTCGACCAACAGTGTCATCCCTCCATGCACTCATCCATCACACAACCTGTCATTCTGGTATAATGAAAACTGCCAAAAGGTGACTGTATCGGCAGGTTTCAGGAATGTTTTCTGTAAGGGAAGTCACATAGGATGATAGTAATCGATCAAGGCCTTAATGTCATCCAGATTAGAATGGAAACCTCGACAGTTCCAGTGTATCAAAGTGGCCATTTTTACTTAGGTGGAGAACCACACCATTTTTTCTTTACAAGGCAGAGATCTATTGACCTCCATGGATCCTGCACTGGGTCAAGCGGACAGGTCTCTGTCAGTAGACATAGATTCTAGCGACTGAGATCATGAATGAATAATTGTTTTGCATTTCAGGACTGAAGAAGATGGACCTGAGCAGAAACTAGAAGCCTGGGCCAAAAGAGGTGGACCCAGGTAGTCACTGGAAAGAATGATGGGGACAGAGATAGGAGTAGACCTGGACTTGTCAATTCATTTATCAAAAGATGGCAAAATATTCTTCATATGATGGAAAAAAGACTCTGATGGTAGCATGGAAAGCTCTGTCTGCACACCAACTATAGCAGTGTAATTGAGCATAGCAGCATTTGTCTGCGATGGAGTTGGAGACAACAACTTTCGAGCCTCTGGATAAGAAATGTTGTTAACTGTTTTTAAATGCGATGCTGCTTTCTCCTCTACCCACTTAATGCAAGATCTATAATAAGAGGGGTGAGAACCATTACAATTAATGCAGTAAAGGTCCAGTTGACATTCATAAGCATCATGGTCTTTGCTCACACAACAAGCACATGTCAAAGAACCACGACAAGATGTCTTTGAATGTCCAAACTGCTGACACTAGAAACACCAGACAGGGTTATGGATATAAAGCCATACCTTACAGTTAAGATAACCTGCCTTGACAGTGGCAGGTGGACGTGGCAATATAAATGTCAGAATGAAAACATTAGTTGGCAGCATAATTCCATCCTTGCAAGTGGAGATGCCTTGCACAGGAAAAACTCCTTGGCTGCAGAAACCAGTGAGGATCTCTGACTCAGGGATGTTCTTTAAATCCCTCTTAACAATAACTCCTTGTGAGGAATTCAAAGTAGCATGAGGAGTAACCTTAATGTGTATATTCCCAATGGCCTTCGATTTCAAGAGGAGTTCACTGTGTTTGAGGTAGATGTTTCCACCAAGGTGTCCCCAGAACATATATTCTTGATTGACTTTGGAGAGCCAGAAAACCCATCTAATCTGTTCTGAACATACAAGCTTTTGACTAAGTAAAGGATCTGATGACTACCCAAAGGATCTACTATATGATGAAGAGGTCTGGGAAATTCAAGAGGCACTTTAAAGAAACAGCAAAGGCACAGGAATGTCAGATATACAAGTTCCCAAAATACCATGGAACACGTGTTGTAGGCCACCAATGAAAGGGTGTTTGCATCCTATTGAATAACTGAATCCCCCTTGCTCAGGCAATTGAGAATTTTACTGCACACTACATGCATAGCAAACTAAACTCCAAGCTGAAAGGTATACTGAAGAAACTGAGAGGTTACCAGTCTCTTGCTACCAGCTGTCTGCTCTATGAGATCCTGAACATAGTCTCCTCCCTGTCACTGAAGTTTGAGAGAGGAAAACTTCATACTTTTGGGGTGTTGCCAGCCATTGAATTGACAAAGATGAGAATGCAGGACTTAAACATGAATACTGAAACTCCCTCATGATGAAAGCAGGATACACCATCGATGGCAACAAGATCTCTTGTGATCTTCCCAAAGAAGATCACATGAGAAGAAGTGAAGAAAACAAGGAGTTCACATCAGCCACTTTGGATAGAATGACTCATGTAGTACCTCATCGTGGTGGCACTGATACAACTGATGCTCACAAGTCAGACATGCTCAGACAGAAAGTGGTTCCAGCTCTAATCCAGTGCCATGTTGAACAATTTAGAGCCTATGACAATAGCCCACATAAAAACATGTCTTGGGTAAACCCAGTCAACTGGAGGAGTGATGTAGCATCTGAATTTGAGTTTCTGGAAGCTGTTGCTGTCCACATCTCAACTCCAGTGGAAGCTGCTGGGTATGAAGTAAGCAAGAACAAGTGAGAGTTGAAGACCCTGAAGAATTTACAGAAGAGCTTCAACCAAGGTGTAGGTACCACAGGTCTACAGGAACAGATTCTACAGTACAGGCAGAAGGATTTGCCAAACCTGAGTTTGCTTGTGAAAGTTGTTTAGGTAATTTGTGTAAGTAACAGCAGGGTTGAGTGTGGTTTCAGCATCCTGACAGCCACGTTGTCAGATCGTAGACTTTCATTAAGCCACATTACAATGAAGGACCTATTATTATGATAAATTACAAGATGACTCCAAATATGTTAAAGGTCTTGTAAATGATTTCTTTAATCAGGTTTGCAGCTCAAAATAAACAGTTTCTGAGCTGTCACAATATAAACCCATGCTAGAATTTGTTGTTTTTATACTCATTTTTTTGTTAATTTGTTTTTGTTTTGAGAAGAGCAACTTCTCTCCTTGGTAATTTAGGGATAGAAGTTTGAAGCTCTCCTTGTATTTATTAAAATGAAGAACTGCTTACATATCAGTTTTGGTTGTGTAAATATTAGAACAAACAAGACAAGCTCAGACAGAGCCTACTAGTTCTAATATTTTGTCTCTAGACCCAGCACCCTCACTGACATTTTTCTCACTGTATTTGAGTGCCCTGGGTGAATAGTCAATTTTGTGACAGAAACAGTGGAAAATACAAATGACAGTCAATTCTCATCCCTGTGTAGCATATTTATTTACTAATTACTAGATTTAAAGCATACGTAGCAAATTTGCCATACAAACTTGAATGCACAAATCTACTACGTAAAAGTATTAAGTGAGTTCAAACAAGTTTTATTTTACCAAAGATTACATCTTAAAACAAGATTTCAAAAACAACCTTACCTTTAGGAATGACTCCTGGATCCAAGAATGTTGCAAGAGAGAAGTTAGCCAAAACAAATAAAGTAACCACTCCTTGGATAATTGGTATTGCTATGTGATACTTGATGGTTAGATAGGGGCAGCTAATAGTAGTAACAAAACAGAGTAATGAATTTTCAAAAACAACAGTTTTTCTACAATATATGTCAGCAAAATAAACTAAATAAATTACATATACTACTTTCACAGTAGCACACTTCCATCCAGACTGTCAAGGATAACTACTGACATGTTTGCATGGCTCTAACAAGTTTTGCCACTAGGGGATTTCGGTTTCCTTCTATAAAATTAAAATAAATAACTTACTTTTGCTAATACTGGTGTTAGTTCTAGACTTTATGGTGTTGTGAAAACAACATACAAAGAGAAAACATGTCATACAAAATTAAAAGTTTCTGGTGGCTTATTACTCTGTTATGATGACACTGTTTGAGGGAAATGTTGGACAATTTTGCATTTTGGTTGTGAACTCCACATTATTCTACCTGATTTTTTTAATAATTTCCTCACCACATTGCACATTTCAATCACACTACTTTCAGTCTGTCAAGTTACTCTCACCATGAATTCAGCACTGCCTTATTTTTTGTTTGAGAAAGCTTGTCACATTTAGTATGCTAGTGGGAAAGCAGCATCAGAAACACCCTTAGAAAAAATATGTCTTAAATATATCAATTAACAATTTTACCAAGTTCAACTTAAATTACCCCAAAAATAGATGATCAGCAAAACAAATGACAAAATGTAAAGTAAGTCATTTTATATAGATTTATTATAATAAAAAAATAAAACTAAACAAAAACAAAACAACAAAGAACTTAAATTTTGCTCTGTAAATCTCAAGAATAAAGAAAGTAAAAATATAATGTACCCAGTTTATAATAAAATCCCCATGATTTCTTACAAGTATAGGGGAGTTAGATATAGAGGTGTTAGATGTACTGAAATAATCTTCCATGTTCAAACACAGTTTGGAAGTTCAGCAATAATGAAACAATAAACCTTGTATCAATATTAATATTGTCTGAATTAAAATGAATTTCAAATAGATAAATGGATAAGTAGGGAATGTTAACATTTTCCTTACCTGAAAATGTATTTCTAAAATACATGCACCTCCATACACAGAATAGCTTCTTTCCTCTTGAGTTTGCATGATCTGCCAAAGAGATTTACAAACCACCAGCCTTGTAAAAACTCATACATAATCTCATATGAAACCACATGAACTTGCACCACTATGATGTTGTCATGCAACAGAACCCTCCACCAATAGGAATGCACTACACCTTCATGCACAAATATTCATGCTTGTGTATCCTTATTCTTTGACAAGGCAAAGAAAAAATGAGCACCATAAAAGTAGGAAGGTGAATATCTATTGGAAATACATTTTCCAGTAAAGAAAATGTTAACTTCCAAAACAAATACTCACACACAATAGCTAGAATCTCACATTGAGATGGTGGAGGGACAGGTGCAATGATTATATAGACAAGCTTTCTTCATGAGGTGTAACTCCCAATGACAGAGCACATCTGTAGGAGACCACATCTCTTCTCATCCAGGGTATACTCTATGCCCATGTAGGAGAACAGAAGATAAAAAAAAAGCCATAATTGTGTCACAAGGATGGGCATAATAGGTACATAGCTGTCTGAACACTCTCACATAAGCTGTTGGACAACTAATATATGAGCGAGGGTGAGGCTCATTTAGACTACCACCAGACTTGACAGGTCAAAACCAGCTGTGGGAGAAGGGCACTTGTGAAAAGTATCTGTTCTCACCTCCTGTACCATCCATCTCTTCGGCCCTCATCATCTGTGCGAGAAGGACACTGTATGGAATCATGTAAGGATGGATGCTTATATAAACCTCTACTCAATCATCAGTCACTATGGGTCCACTTGCCTGTTGTGGGAGTAGGCTATGTGAGTGATACATCATTGATGTATACAGTGTTTTCACTTTAACTCTACTGTCAGTCTCTACAAGCCCCATTCCAGCTGCAGAAGTGTGGTGTTATTTTTTGTTGTTGTTTTTTTTTTCAGTAAAGTGTGGAATGGATCCGGAATAGAGAGTTCACCTTGGCTCTACTGAATAGACTTTGGCTGCAGGAGAAGGATGGATCTGTATAAAAGGATTGGTTTAGTGAGTTGTACCATCGGTACACTTGAAGTGTGATATATCAGTTATATATGTAGGGTGACCTGCACTATACTCTGGTGTCACCCCAACCCCACTCTTCATCATAGAGGGACTTCTTGCTCTAGCCTCAGCAATTAGGTCCCATTAAGTGAGGATTCTCCATGGTCCACCAACCCAGAACCTAGGAACTGATAACTGACAAAGGTCTCCCATGCTTCACTCGATGAGAGAGAGAGAATTCACATAGAGAAGACCCAGAAAATGTGTCCAGATATTCATCAGTACTTTAGTTCCAAAAGGTCTTTTACAGGAGACAGTACAGTGGGAGATCATGAAACCCTATTTTTAAAATCCAGCAAGTTCTAGCCATAAAAGTAGGCGGAAACACTGCTCTGGCGCTGCCTTTGTCCATGATAGTCCATGGAATGGTTATGGTGTGGATCTGACATGAAAAGTAATATACATATATAGAAATACCACAAGGAAACCTCAAATGGTCTTCCAGAACACCTCATCTCACAGTGGACACTTTTAGAACCAGGGCAGATGTAAAAAATACTTTCCATTATCCTAGCTCAATGCAGGTTTTGAGTAAGTATATCCTGGGAGGCAACACTAGCTGCCTAGTGGGATCCTACATTGATTGCGAGGTAAGAAAAAAATTTGTACACTCACCTGTCCATAGACAGTGTGTGCATTGGAAAATAGTCATAGGTGGAAGTCTAAATCCCTAGGGAGATTAAAAAGCCAGTTGGAGCAGATAATGGGCAACAAAGATGTGTAGAATAGTCCACATGTCAGCCTGAAGAATAGCATCAAAAGTCAATGAAAAAGAGTAGCTAGATAACGTCGGAGGTGATGAATCTGATGAGAAGAACCTACAATCATCCACCCTCAATGAGGCATATACCAGACAGATGAGTAGGCAGATTCATCTTGTGAGGGTGGAAGGAAAAAAGATCTCATGTAGAGGAGGGATCCCAAGGAATGAAAGGATGGTGAATGGAACCCCAAAAAGATGAAGTGTGACAAAAACAACAAACAGCCTGGACAGGACACAAGAGTCTGCCTAGTATCAAAAAAACATACACAAGGGATATAGAAGGAAGGGATATGGGAGAAAAGGCATGACCACTGACCCTTGCTACCAAAGACTATGGAAGGAAAGACTGGTTGGGGTAAAGCAGAAAGTAAATGCAGTTAAAGAGAGTTTAAGAGATAACTATGCCATAGACATCTGAGTGACAGCTACAACAGGCAAGATAGATTTAGTACATTCACAGTTTTATTGCATATAGTTTTACAGATCAAAATGACCAAGCTTATATACAGTGTTTATAAAAAGTGAAAACTGCATTAGATGTTTCACTACTTGATTAGATTAAGAGAAATGAAATTTAGTTCTTGATCTTCAAAAAGCCAATTTTGAAGCCATGGCACAAGATTTATCATTACTGAATTGGTACAGTGAGTTAACAAGTGGTGTGGGGCAGACTTGAGAAGTGTTTGAAAATACAATAAATTGATTTTAATTCAAGATAGATGTTTCTAATAAAGGGAAAGAGATAACAAGAAAGATCTGAAACTTAATTGGCTTACTAAAAACATAAAGAAGATAAACAGGGATAAATACCATACTTGTAATAATTTAACCTTATGTACACAGGTGGGAGTCAATGTGTGTATGCCATGACCTTTTACAGAGTACCATTCATCATGATATTATGTTTTTAATGTCAGAGTTATCAACTGTTCATTTTACTCTATATTGTTGATTTAGCAACAGTACATGGTAGAGGAGATTAAATACCAAATACGATATATAAGGACTTTGAAAAAAAACTGTATATATGCATATTGGAGGTTCTAGAGGTTACGCAAAAAAAATATCCAAGCTGTACAATGGACAAAAGTATTTTTATTTTTCACATGAACATCACCTTGCACTACAACTTGTCAGACTGATGTCAGCAATTCATAGACATATCTTGAGTACAGATACTTTTGTAACATCCAGTCTTTTGTGTACAACAGACTTGTACATGTTACTAAAAGCTTGCCACATTTTGCCTAGGTACACATAATAAACTTGGAATTATAGCCAACATTCCTTGTAGACAGCGTGAAGAATTAACAGAACTTTGGAATACCTATGGCTTTGATCCAAATAAAAAGTAGAAAACCAAAACAGTTTTTGAGAAACAGATAATTGGTAATTTAATAAAACAAATGTTTTTTTAGGAAGGTTAACTGTATGTAAGATCTTGAAATGGAGGATTAGGCCTTTACAGGATGATGATAGCAATACTTTTATTGGAGAACATGAGATGATTAACCCCATGGAGATGGTGCTGGTGTTTTCCATCCAAGCCGTTTCCGTGAAGCTATAGATAGCAATGTTTACTATAATTATAAATTTACTGAATGAATATAGAAAGAAATATAGAAATATTTATCTTATTTTCAAGGGAGGTGGCAAGTGCCCCCCTTGCAGATGCCCATGGACCATAGGGAGCTTGTAGTTTAAAATAAGCTTCTTCTATTGGTTATAAACAAGTAAGTCAAATAAGATAACATGGTTTGGAAAATTGACTTGAGAATTAAGGAAAGATGGACAGAGAATTTGTCATGGGTTTGTAATATTTATATCTTAGTAACTGCCACTAACTGGAGAAGTTATGGTGTTCAAACTGTATATTCAACCTCAGAACTGTTTATAAACAGCATCTAAAATAACAGAGGCAGTGTATATGTTGAGATTTTGAAGTTATACTAACTAAAATTGGAATACTTGATAGCACTTGCATGTTGTGACAATAAAGGTTGAGAATTTTTTAAATATTTTCTTTTGAAATTAAAACTTGTACTATATAAACATATGAATTACAAACTACATTCTGTTAATTTTATTGAAATACATAAAAGTTATTAA